CATCCTAAATCAACTCTATGTTATATTCATTGAATAAGATATTTTTAGCTGACAATCTTACGTATTTTCAACATAAATGCAACATTTTAATTTAAAAACAAAATTTTATGACCAATATGGACTTACTCTTTAAAACTAAATTATAAACTAATTCTTTTTCAGAATTCACTTAAAATTCTTCTAGCCAGAGTGATAATTTTATATTAACTAAAAGTGATCAAAGGTAGAACATTTATATTTCTTCTATAGTCCTAAGGGCTACTTTTTATTTCAGTTGACCTATCATATCTTTCTAACTTGAGTATTCATAGTATACACATAACCACCAATTTAAACTACTAAAGGCTACATATTTTAGGCTACTGAATTTTATAGTTTTTAAAATGCAAAATACTTTAGTTATTTTTCCACCTACCAAAAGCTTAGTGAAAACTGTAATATTTTCACATGTTACAAATCAGTGGTTTTGTAAACTTTAAACCCTTACATTGAGATAGTGTCCATTTATTGGCATGCTTTCCTGCAAGTTTCACATGAGTAATATCATATAAACGAACAAGAATAAATTAAAAAATTAAATTATGTGTGCTAACATTTGTAGACTAATAACTACAATTCAATTGTCACATTAGTAATATTTACATTTTATTCTTATGTCATTTTATTTTATACACATATGTGTATTGCATGTTTTCATGTTAAATATGTTTGTTGCATTTCTCTTCATTACATATCACCATATCACAAAATTATCTTGTTAAATTTTCATTCAAATGTTTCATATGAAACACTAAAATTAAAGAAAGAAACAGCATGTTTGAAGCTAATTTACATAAAATAGTGTCAAATACAAATATCTAAAAGCTACTTCTGTAAATATGCAATTGTCTTTAATGTATACTTGCATAATTTATGTGTAGAGGGAGCCATTCACTCATATCTCTAGAAACATATTCTCTTCTACTGTGATGAGTTAGACAATAATTACCAGGCAACGTAGCATAGAATCTTAAAACAACCTACATGACTAAAAATTAATCAAAAAGAAGTTCAAATTCAATCATGATATGATGTTTTATCTGGCACATACATTGCTAAAATTAAAGCCTTAGAAACCTTAATTTTTATTAAAATACATAGCAAAATCTAAATTTAATTAAATATTTTATACATTACTATTAAATAAATTTCTCAATTTATATATATAGCATGTAATATTTCATTATCATAATCCCAAAGATGATATATAATTATGATTTATAGAAGCATGTTTATATCTATACATCATTTCATTTTTTTATGTTAGGAAATGTTTTGTTAAATAATATTAATAAAAATATACTTTAGATATGTTTTTACATTGTAAACATTTTATTTCTAAATATATATTGAGTAATTTAATCACAAGCTGATTGTGATAAACTACATTTTGTATACATGATTTGATTTCAAATGGGAAATGAATTTTCTGAATGTAAGTTTTCCTCCCTTAATTTGAGTTACATGTCTTGTAATGTATGCATTTAACTGTGCTAACAAAGACAATATTTACATAATTGTGTAGCATATTTAATTTTTAAAAAGATAGTAAAGTATCATTTTGGCATTGGAGTAACTCTTATACATTTAATATTGAATTGTTGCTATACACAATTCTAAGACTTTTTCCAATATTGGCAATTACCTCGTAATACAGTTATGTATGCAAAATTTTTGAAAGTTTTAAAACTGTTAAATGGTGCATTTTGATGATTTAAGAATCTGTGTTTCATAGACTGCTAATTTAAAGTGGTACCAATATCAGTATTCTAAATTGGTTTACATTTTAAGTAAAATTGGTTATACATATATATGACATAACTGTATGGTGATGGATGATTATATTGCCTTATAAGGAAATCAGTGTTATTTCTTCATAATTCCACTACATGTATCAAACATATCTAACGAAATTTAGATGCACTTCTACTTTTTGCCATCATGAGATATCTCTACTTTTCACTCTACAGAAATTTGAGCATTCTAAGTAAATCCATTTCACACTAACAGAGTAAACTTTTTAGGTTTGGGAATGATGAAAAAGATCTTGAATTCTTACTGTGCAACTAAATCTTCAGATTCCACACTTTTTCAAAGTTATGTTTTTGAAAGTTAAAAACAAAATTATCCCCCTCGCTATTTTGAAATTGCTCTTCATTCATGTCACTGATTGAAATACGACTTTGCCACGGTAAAAATTATAATCATATTTCATTTGTGATATATATTCATTTTATTATTGCTAATATAATTTTAGCCTCATTATTAAATACATTCATTCTTTTTTTTTTTTTTTGATAAATGTTTCTTGAGCGTCTCCTGTGTGCAAGTTAACAGAATATACAAAATTCTCAGCCTTCAGGGAGCTTACTTTCTAGTACAGGGTGGAAAGAATATGAATACAATATATAAGTAAAATATAAGAATTGGTTAAACTATGGTTATTGAACAAAATGGTTTTTTAAATGCTTTATTTCAACATCAAAAATTAAACTCTGCCCTGCATTCAGATTAAGGGAATAGTATGGAATCACCTCACCATCGGGGGGAATTATAGCTGTAATACTGAACATTTTAAGACTGGGGTTGCTAGTAAGTTCTAAGCACCACCAAAGAAATCCCAGATTTGGTTTGGAACGTGTTTATTCCTTGGGGTCTTCAACAAAATGGCTGTTTGGAATTAGTCTGAAGAGTTGGTCGATGATTAGTTATAGAAACAACCTTCCAATAATTACCCCAGAATTATTGTCCCAAATGCAAGACACTCTTTGAGATTAATCATGATGACCCAGTGAAGGAATATGATAACTCAAATTCAGTTTAGCACTTTGTTACAGGTAGGAATGCTCAGATCTGAGACAGCACAAATTTCATTATTTCTCAAACGTTTAGTTTATACTTATCAACATGTTTATAGTTAAATTGTTTTCTTCTTTAAACTAAACCTGAAAGCCAGGATATTATGATGAAGTTATAAAAAATTTGAAAGTATTAGTTTTTCATCCTGCTTTTGTATGTCCTCTCAAAAACAGAAGGAATTATTAAATTTCCCAGGAAATAATATGGAGCAGTTTTCATAGTGATGAGCACAAGGATATCCCAAATGTATGATTTGCCATGAGATCAATTATTGTATGTTAATAGCGTAAGCAAAGTAATTGCTTAATCATGCGATTAAAGAAAATCCTTACCAAATATTAGCTCAGTAAATATTGCAGGCTGATTTGTATAACCAACATGAATTTAGTAGATTTTAATCTTCACAAAAATAACTTGAATAAATATTTTGTCACAGATTTTTTTCCTGATTGATGCTTAAAGATGTATTTTAAACATTTAAAATAATTTGATCATTGTCATACCTCATTTACCCCTGGCCTCCTCAAAATACAATTATCATTTAATTTTTAAACATTTCTACATCAAATTCAAATAAGATATGACAACTCAGACTGGTAGAATTAGTAGCAGAAATGTGCTCCTTTGCTTGCCTGTGGATCAGGGGCCCCATGTTTGAATTTTTTTCCTTTTTGTGTTTAAGGCTAAAAGCAGAATTACTGGTCCTATTGGCAACCTGCCTACAGCACAAAAGGAAAAAAAAAAAGGCATAGAATTCTGAAACCATATTAAGAGATATCATTATTTTCCTCTTTTAGAATGGTTAAAGTATACCTGTGTATTTTTTGTCTAAAATATCTAATTAAATATTATGGACAGAATTTTGAAGTGTTGATAAGAAAGCGATATAAAAACATATGGGACTCATTCATTGGCTTTAAGTAATATTCAGAAGTTTTTTTAATCAGGACCTGACTATAATTCTTAATTAGTAGCTGCAGCTCTAAAATTCAATAATGTTTTTTCTTGTTAAGTATTTCTGCTGTCAAGATCATTTTAAATATATCCTCATTCAGTTTCATGCTTCTATGATAAGATTACTTTTTTTCATTATGTAAGAATTACGCACTACCAAGTGAAAAAATTTAAGTTAAAGGAAAAAGAAAACCCTAATTTGGCACTTTGAATACATATTTTAAAATTATAATGAAACTTTAATAAAGATACAAATGCTGTAATATTATATTTATGTGTTTGTATTTATGTGTATATATATANTATATATATACATATAGACCATGATATGCTTATGAGATATTTAGAAATTTCCCATCATTATTTAAAACTAGTGTTGTATGAATAAAAGTACCATGGTGACCAATAGTTAATTTTCAGTCACTTCTAAATTGAATAATGTATTTAATTTTAATTAGTACAAAATTGGTCCATCTAAATTTCAAAAAATTAGTAAAAAATATTTAATTAAAAACACATTCAACTCTAAGTTATGTATAGCTCATCATATTGACTATTTTACTATCTTGGCTGCTTTCTGGAAATTTAGGTTAAGGTAGATATTTACATACACTAGTTATTTTGGAGTCTCATGTAGTCATCATTTTGCCTTCGATTTTAAATTCTCTTTTCTTCACTTTCTCATCTTAAAATAAAAATTTTTGATGTTTTTCCCAGAAATTATGAGGAGATATGGCACAGACTATTCAAAGCGTACTTTTGAGAAAAGTGTGGTTACATAGTTACCCATTCCGTCAAAACCAGTTGCTTGCCAGGCATTTGTTGCTTAAATTCATCTGTAGATTTAAAAAGAAGAAAAAAAAAAACGATTGATTCAGTGCCACATAAAGGGTTTACTCTTTCACCTTCTCCCCCTAATGTGTTACAGTTAAAATATGGTGTATTTCGTGTGTAATATCTATCCATAGGTTGATTGATACAAACAAATCAACAGATCTGGTGTGCTTCACATTTTAGTGGCATGTTTGTGTTTTGCCTCTTCATGTTGATTATCCTTAAGGTAATAGAAGGGAAAATAATTTATTAAACTTAGAAAAAATATATATTTAAAAGAAAAAGTTAGCATCTAGTGCTACTGTGTCCCACAGGTTCTTCTACATTGACCCACACTACCTCCACTGGTGAGTTAGAGGAGCATAACAGGACTACCACTGGTGCTATTGCTGTTGCTAGGACACCTGCAGATGTTACTGTATCCAGTGTTACAGCTGTCACCATCCATAGACTTGCCGAGGAACAGCGAGTGCAAGTTACGAATCTCAGAAATTCAGGTCTGGACCCCAACACGTCCAAGGACGGGCTCACTCCTCATGAAGCAGATACACAAAGTACAAGGAGAAGACCAAGAAATGCTGAACAGATAGAAAGAACTAAAGAGCTTGCAGTTGTTACTCATAGAGGTATTGGATGTTATTTTACTTGTGCCCATATAGTAGCAGCCAAAGCTATATTTTGGTAATAATGCTAGTTAGAGATTGAGCTGAACGAGAGTCAGAATGTAGAAAACGAAAGAAGGAATTCAAAGTAGCTGAGAAACATAGATAGTAACAACCAAAACTGGAAAAATT